GAAGTTCCAGAGAGTGATAGCTTTGCCTCTCTCAGATGATCCTAGCCTGTTTCTCTGGGGAACCTTAACAAATACATTTAGGTAATTTTCTTACATACATGCGCTGATTATTACTTAGCTGAACACTATAGAGGAAGCCTCTGTAGACCCATTTGGTTCTCTTCATGGTCTCTATCTCTCTAGTGAAATTCTCCATCATTTACAGTATATGTCGAACTTCTCCCCCAGATTCATTAAAATATTTGTTTATGTATATATTTAAGTCCCTTTCTCTGATTTCAATATCTAAATAATCTCTGGGTTTACTTCTATTCTTTGTTACTCTCTTCACTAGGGAATTTCATTTTCCCACTTCTCTGTGCATTTTTTAATGGTATGCATGAATCATATGTAAATGAATGGTAGAGACTGAAGTACATATTATCTCCCCAATTGAACATGCTATTTTTCTGTTAGACTGCAGTTTGTGATGATTAAGCTAATTTAATCTCTAGTTGGGCTGGATTTGGCCTTTGTTGCCAAATCCAGCCCAACTAGATGTTCACCACTAATTTCGAATGTTTTGAGAGCAGAATCAGGACTATAATTTCAGTAAAACTTAAGATCTAAGCTCTAAAGAAACTTTGGATTTTATGTGCCAGATTTCTGAACCTTGAGAAAATTTCCTTTTCAGGAAAGCTGCCAGGCTTTTTGGGTAAGTAGGGAGTTATCTTTGCTCTCCAATCTTACCCTTAGAAGATCTATTACCTTGGAAGATCTATTTCCTTTTCGCTGTCCTTACACTATCTTTTGAAGAGAAGCTGCCTTACATACTGCAAAATCACAAGCAATCCTATATACCAATAACAGACTTAGAGAGCCAAATCAAGAATGAACTGCCATTCACAATTGCTACAAAGAGAATAACATACCTAGGAATACAACTAACAAGGAACGTAAAGGACCTCTTCAAGGAGAACTACAAACCACTGCTCAACGAGATAAGAGAGGAGAAGACACAAACAGATGGAGAAACATTCCATGTTCATGGTCAGGAAGAATCAATATTGTGAAAATGGACATACTGCCCAAAGTAACTTAGAGATTCAATGCTATTCCCATCAAGCTACCAATGACCTTCTTCACAGAACTGAAAAAAACCACCTTAAACTTCATATGGAACCAAAAGAGAGCCTGCATAGCCAAGTCACTTCTAAGCAAAAAGAACACAGCGGGAGGCATCACACTACTAGATTTCAAACTATACAACAAGGCTACAGTAATCAAAACAGCATAGTACTGGTACCAAAACAGAGATATAGACCAATGGAACAGAACAGAGGCATCGGAGGCAACACAACATATCTACAACCATCCGATCTTTGACAAACATGACAAAAACAAGCAGTGGGGAAAGGATTCCCTGTTTAATAAATGGTGTTGGGAAAACTGGCTAGCTATGTGCAGAAAGCAGAAACTGGACCCTTCCTGACACCTACCCTAAAATTAATGCATTGGAGGTATTTTTATCAGATCACTTTTTTCCATCCACATTGTTTTGAAGGTTGCTGCAGTATTCCTGAAGATGGTCTTGGATGCCAAAAATGAAGGACCACTCTCAGCTTTCCTGCTTTGTCCTAATCTTTTAGAATATTTTCCCTCATGTGCAGTGAAGGCTCAAGAGAAAGTTAAACATTTGCTAAAATTTGACTTCTCTGTATCTCCATTTCTTGTGGATTCTTTCTCATCCCACTGCTCCACCAGAAATGAAATCGGCTAATTCTCTTAAAAAGAGCTTGCCACCTTCTGAAATTTTGTGGTGTTTTTTTTTACCTTTTTTATGTTTTTTGCATTCTCATCTCTAATGGACTGGAGAAAACCCACAAATTTTGTGGCTTATCTGGCTTGTTCTTATTATTAAGATGAGAGGAAGACTCTCATGACTATCATTCCACCAAGCATGAGAGCCATCGTGGGACCCTTTTGTCCTCACTTTCTGGAGGTTTCTTTGCATTCTCAGCTCTACAGTATGCTTAACCACCCTCCCCCACACAAACACATGCAAGTTATGTTTTTGTAGCGTATTTAGCTTGTTTTCCTTGTTAAAGTAGGAGTGATAATCTTTTGCGACTTTTTACATACTAGCCAATAACAGGACCATTTGCATTGCATAGACCCAAATGTATGTTACCCCAAATAAACTATCAGTCTTTTGAGAATAAGCAATGTAATTTTTAATCTTTTTAATTTCCCATAATGCATGGTAGTTACTTGATACATATTTAAAATGAATACTTCACATGTTATCAACTTATTGGTGCCCAAGGAAACCTGGAACTGAAAGATAAATCTCTTAAAGAGATTACTAGCAGAGGTATAATCAAGGTGTAGATCTCCTGGCTCTCCATAATTCTTCTCTTGTATTGAATTTGATTTTTAATCATAATGATATTCTATGTGGTATGTAGCTCTAAGCTGTCATATCATCATCATCAACAACAACATAATTGTCCTCATCTTGTTGGATATATCTTTTCAATAATTGGTTATGTGGGCAAGAACTCCAGTAAAAATGTCAAAGATGGCACTGAAGTCCTTGAGAGAATAAAGTATATAAATGCAGGCATACACACAATTTTAGCTATAGACTTGATATAGAAATATAGGTATGTACATCAGCTTGTATCAAATAGAGTTAACAGTTTAAATAGCTTTAATATGCGTAATTTAAATTCTTGCCTTCCTTTTTATAGCAATTTCATTTTTAATGTTTTATATTCCATTTTCCTTCTTTTAATCTTGCTTTTCTGATATGCAATCCTATCTCAAACAAGAAGGCTATTACTGAGCAGGAAAGTAGTTCTTTAATTGAAACACTTATGGGGCACACTAGAAAACTGCAAAGACTTTTAAGAAATAGCAAAACTTTAATAGGTTCTTGTGTGTTCGTGTTGTAACCTAATTCAGTGCTCTTTCAGTATGCTGCAGGATGTTGCTAATTTACGGCTGCGATGAGCAATAAAGCAGTAATAGTAATCGAAAGGTGCAATATTCCTTGTTTAGGGGGCATTTATGGTTATGTATTAAAACTATAAATACTTCAAGAGGCTGTGAAACTGATCTATAGAAAATGAAAGATAAGATCTCACTGCCTTCTAAAAGTGCTTTTCTAGCAGAAATCTGAGCTTGACTTTATGGTTTATAAATATAAACAAAGCAGAAGTGAAATGTTCAACGTGTCTACCCATCCAAAGGGACCACTTAACCACCAGCACTCAAACCTAACATGGGCTGGAAAGTTCCTTTCTTTCTTGTTTTATTTTTTAACTTTCTTCCCCTTATTCCTTTATAAAAATTGTTCTTCCTCTCTCCTTCGTATCTTTCACACCCTTCATCCTCTTTCTCTATTTCTGGCTTTTCTCCCATCTTTCCTCGCATTACTTTCTATACCCATATTGGATGAAAGAAGCAAACTGTACTGAGGTGGAAATAAGATTCAGAATGCAGCTCTCATGGCTGAGGGCCCCAGGACAATAGGTAAGTACAGCCACAGGTAGGCTGCGTCTTTTCTGAGCCTTATGCTCTTAGTTGGACCAGCCCTGATTTCCAGTCTACCTGTCAAAGCAATCCTTGACATTAGTGCCTGTTCTGCAAAACTATTCAATATGTTCACCTCTTTCGTTCTTACCTTCACCAGTCTGTTCTTGTACCCATCAATCTGGGCTTCTGGGCTTTTACCTTGTATGTAATATCTGCTTCTGGCACCTATGATTGGTGGCCCATCCTGTGTTTTTTAAAAAATCTTTTTAGATTTCTGTTATCTAAATACATGTTTTTGGATTCCTCATATTCTCTGGCCCCTACCACTTGTCTCTGTGCCCCAAATTCTTCAAAGAAGGGGGAAAATGCCCCTAGGTCAATTGATTTCTAACCTAATCCAGAGCCTACTTATTCTTTAAAGTTGGGGTCAGGTGATTTTTCTGGTTAGGAACCCTTCTCAGTACTCCCACGATTTTCTACATACACCTGTTTTTGCACCTTTCAGATTCTATCTGAGCATGGGTCTGTACAGTAGCTCCTTATATCTGTGGCCCTTTATTTGAGTCCTGAGTCGTCGCTGTTTGATGATGATTCTGGAAGGATTATCTTCATGCAAGAAGAAATATGACCAGAGGAAGCCAAGAAATATGTCCATTCCAGCGTTTCCAATACTTCTTTATCACCGGAAGAGCCAGGTTATGAGCTCTGTTTTATTTCTCAGGGTCTGACTACTGTGATCAGTCCATAAATGTAGTTATTAATATGATGATCAGTTTTATTTACTTAACAGATATTTATTGTTACCTCATTGCTCCCAGGCAGTATTTTCAGGTATGGGAAATCTAACAGTAATCAAGACAAGTCCTGCCATCATCAGACTTATATGTCAGCGAGGCAACTATATAATAGATAAACAAATTCATATAAAATAGAATGCTGTGAAGTGATAAGTGCTATAAAGAAGAAATCAGGATAATGGATTGAGAATGACAGGGTGCTAGATAATCAAATTCTAAGCATGATGAAGCCTATTGGCACACTACCAGTCTGACTTCCTCACAGAAAATAAAGGAGCCATTGTTTCTAACTTGGGGATTTTAATCCCATTTTCTACACCTCTGGCTGTTCCAATGAAGTATTATGAAAGCTGGAACAGACATGTTTCCTTCCCAGCCTCTTCCAGTCACCTGTCTCTCTTCCATACTCATTGTGTCTGCATCGCTCAACAGGCAGGCCCATGGATATTTCAGAACATACATACTGGGCTGTGTTATGCTGAGAAAAACTGGGGGCCAAATTTTTAACAATTTTTCACCATCAGAGTGGAAAAACAAGTCTTCCACTAGGAAAATGGAGGCTTGACTGTAACTCTTCCTAGTGTCAGGTTGAGAAAAACCACCAATGGCCTTATCTCTCAAGAAATCACTCTTGGGTGCTCCAACTCTTTTCAGACCATCCAAACTATGATCGCGTCACCTTACCTATGCAGTGTTAACTCTGGGCTCCTCAACACACATTCTTTGTATTTCTTGGTGGTTCACTGTCATACAACACAGCGTGTTCATTCTTGTCCCTGGGAAGGTAAAACAGAGCCCTAGAGTCAAAGAGATTTGTTTTTCTACCTACTATCAGCATTCACTGCGTGATTTTGGTAAACATCTTAACCTCTTTGAAACTATGTTTGTACATCTGTAAAACAAGGATGATAATACATCTTCTTTCAGTTCTTCAGCGTACTAAACGAGGCATTGTACGCATGTAAATCGCTGAGCACCATGTCTAACACATAGTCTCCTCTTGTCTTACTGGGACCCAGTGTACTCCCCTCCTACATCTTTTAAGATGACCCAGCTCTAGGTCCAATTCCTATATCCTCCCTGACTGATCTTCTAGACTCTAGTTTCCTCCTCCTTTAAATATCTACAGCACCTGTGGTTTGTACCAACAAACTTGTCACTTAACAATTTCCTAGCTTGAGTCTTTTACAAATTGTTTCTTTAAGAACAGGAACACCTAAGCCATGGTAGTCCCTAGCACAGATCTTGAGCACAAGCTCATTGATTAACGTAGAACACAAACCATGTCGGTTTTTTCCCCAAGGATGTCTAGATTTATTTTGACTCAAATAAAATGAAGGCTTCCTTTGAAATTATCTAGATAATATAAATCATTGAACCCCAGAGGCTTGCTTTCTAAAATAATTAAGGCAAAATGAGGCTCCCTGTTTTTTTCTGGCACATGCAGTGATTCATTTAATGAACACAACATTCCTCTTCTTTAGCTATACCAAGTATATCTATTTTCTGATAGAGATTCTGAGGGTAAGTAACCAGGCCAAGATCTTACAATGAGTTGGGTGAAGAGAAGCTGTGTTGTATAAGAAGATTCAAAGCTAGCAACTCTGATCCCGGACCACGAACCATATCTTTCCTTTATGCAGCTCTGCCTCTGTCTCAATTTGTTAACTTCTTATAGTTGGACATTATCATTGTTTTCTCCCCACACCCAAATCTCCATACTCCAAATGCCCAACTTGTCAGCCTTGAAGACAAGGCACATTTAATGCCGCCTATTGCTTCAGAGTCATTTTAGCTTCATTCTTGGCTTTCCCAGTAGAAGCAAGTATAAAACAAAACAAAAAGGCAAAACAACCCATGTTTCTTTATAGTAGAGGCCATTTGCATGGTGTTTCTGGACTTCCAGTTCCTGAGAATTCTCGATAGTCGTTACTTACTCTCTCTCTTTCTCTTTCTATCGAGAGAAGGGAAACTGGCAGAATGACAATATTTTACTATTTTGAAAGTTCAAAGCCACTGGTTTTGTTTGCTTTCTCACTCTCTTAGATATATCCCTTGATACTGATGGGAGAAGGACTGTCAGAGATTTAGAGATAAAGAGAAAGATGAAAGAGAGCAGTGCGAAACAGTGGTTTGAAGGACAATGCAAGCTTAGGCCTATTTCAAAGGAGACAGCCACAGTGTGCTAGCACTGCGCTGACAGCAGAGCTGACAGGGTGAGGACTTTCTTTTTTCTTTTTTTTGTATTCTTCATCTGCAAAGCGTGGTGTTCTGGAAACGTTTTCCAAATGCTGGGGAATAAACTGAAGTTGTATCAGTTAGATACTGCCAAGTAACACATACACGCAAAACTCACCAGCTTAAAAATTAAGTGTTTATTATTTCTCATGGGTCTACATGTCAGGTGGATGGTCCTGATGATGTGCTCCAGGCTTTGCTCAGCTGAGCTTACTTATGTATCTGTGGTCACCTGGTGGGTAAGCTCTGGACTAGCTTCTCACATGTCTGGCTGTCAGCTAGTGTGATGAGTGACCAGGCTACGTGTCTCTCATTATCCAGCTTTCCAGTTTGGCTTGTTCTCATGGTTTAGGCAGGAGTCCCTACAGAGAAAGGAAGTTGTCGGAGCCTCTTGAAGTCTAGCCTCAGAAATGGTACACCATCACATTTTTGCATTCTATTGACTACAGCAAGTCAAAGACCAGCCAAGATTCAAAGTATGGGAAAAAAGCCTCCACCTATTGATTAAAATGGATACAAAGTCACACTGCAGAGACTGTGAATTCAGGGAGAAACGATGACTTGCAGCCAGTTTTGCAGTTAGTCTACCATAGTCTTTCTTCTAGCCACAAGTATTTCTCTCAGATTTCAAGCCCCTTCAGGACCTCCACCAAGATCTTATGATTGACATCCTGTCTGGATGCAGCTGCTTACAATAGACAGCCTATGAATATAAAGACAGGTTATATCCCCGAAACACAACCAATACAATGATGAATGGGAATAAAATGACTATAACGAATACTTCCACTCAAAAAAAGAAATAACAGAAGGCAAACACCAGGAATTGGTCTATAGCAATTCTGAAATCCTCCTTAGTAAATGTTTCTAGGTCTCTCACTTGGAGGTAGGGAGAGTTCCTTGATTAGACCTCACTTCTCCTCCCCAGAAGTGGGTCCTCATTTCATGGTTCTCCATGGCTCTTGGTTTGCCCTTGGTAGCAGGAGGGAGAGGTCTTCCCATCTCTGTAGCATTCCTTATGAATTTGAACAATTTTCTCAACTTGCTTACAGGCTACCATAGAAAACACTGTGATAGACTGATTATAAAAATTTATGCCATGGAGAAGTAAGGTCAACTTTTATACCCCTTGAACATGGGCTTAGTCTTGTGATTTTCTTTGGCCAATATAATGCAGCAGAAATGATGGGTGTGTCAATTATGATGCTAAGCTTCAACTTCTCCTGGACACCTGTGAATGCCCCCAGGCTAGCCTGCTAGTGGAGCGTCAGAAACCACATGGAGGAGGGTTCTCTACATCAGGCCATCCTAGACCAGCCAGCCCACAACTGACATGCCAGGTGATTATATACAAGTGACTAAGACAAGCCAAAATTAGCCAAGCCTGGTTCATAACAGAACGTCCATCAGACTCATAGCTTCATGAGTTAAAATAAATGTTCATCATTGTGCATCCAGGGGTTTTGAGGTCATTATTGTTTTTTTTATACAATATCACTATGGCAATAAATACATGGCAGTGGGAGGTGGTTTCCTTAAATCAACTTCTGGCCTCCAAGCTCAGCTTGTTTCTTGGTCTGCATAGCTGATGTCTGCCTATGACTAGTACAACCCGAATCTTATCTTGTCATCTTTTCTATTTTATCTCTTCCCACTTTTTGTATTTAATCTATGAACTTATTCATAACTGTTACTTTCATCTTTTCTAATAACAAGCAGGTAAGGAATACAGAACAGGCATTCATTTCACTGATGGAAAAATTTCTGCTCAGAGAGTTTAGGTGATTTGTGTGCTTACACAGTTAGAAGCCAAATAGAGTATACATCATTCTATGCTAATAACGTTTAATTTTTTTCAATAGAAATGGAGTCTCACTACGTTGCCCAGGCTGGTCTCAAACTCCTGTACTCAAATGATCCTCCCACCTTAGCCTCCAAAGTGCTGGGATGATAGGCATGAGCCACCATGCCCAGCCAATCTTTAATTTTTTTAAAAAATTATACTATATCATCTTGTATTATCTCTCCTGCCTCACCTCCTGTCTTTTCTGCTTAAATCAAAGGAGGAAATGTAGTTTGGATAACTGAGCCTCCATCTGGAAATCAGACCTAAATTCTGACAAACCTGGCTGGGCATGGTGCTTCATGCCTGTAATCCCAGCACTTTCAAAGGCTGAGGTGGGAGAATCACTTGAGCCTAGGAGTTGGAGACCATCATGGGCAACAGAGTGAGACCCCATCTCTCAAAAAAATAAAATAATAATAAGTTGCTTTTTATGCAAATGAATTATGTCTTAGAAATCTGTCATCAACCCTATCTGGTATTCAATGATATTATAAGGTTGAGTGGAGAAAAAAATAAAAACCTCCCTTTAACTGTGATTTTAGAGGGCAGAACCGTAGACACAAGTACAAAGAAAAAGACTTCAGGTTAACATAAGATAGAGATTTGTAACCTGTCATTGTGAGGGCTTTAATATTTGGTGGGTAGGTAAACTGGATGACCTTTGAGGACCCTGTCAATTCTAGGAATTATTGACTCAGATACAGCAATTTTTTTTGAAAAAAAGAAAAATATATTTATCCATTATCTTATCTGGACAGCTTAGCTACTGTTTAAAAGGAAGATTCAGTCAGTCACTATTGAAATGCTCCCTTACTGCAATGTTCTCATACTCTTTCGTGATGCCATTCTGGTTTTCCTGATACTTTTGTGACTATTTCTTCTTATCCTTTCTTTATGACTTTATTTCCCCCATGAAAAGTACATTAAATATAGATACTTTCCCAGAACTGATTTAGCTTCCTTCTTTTTTAATCTCTGTGTAGCTTTATGGGATTATCCACGGCCACAGCCTTTCTGCCACCTGCATGCTGATCATACCTAGGTCTTTATTTCTGGTCCTATGATAGTCATTACTGCTATTTGCCAACTATTTCTAGCTCTCCTTCCTTCCAGGAGGAATGTACTCATGGCTCCCTGAAACTAAGTGTGGTCACTAACTAGTTCTTTGTAGAAATGTCACGTGTCACTTTCTGGTCAAACATTTAATCACCAAGACATGACCTTCCAGACTTCTCTTTTTCCTCTGGCCCAGTAGCCAACGACTTTCAAAATGGTGACTGCTCTCTCAGCTTGGGTCTGCGAGTGACTGCAGTGGGCAAAACACTCTTAATGACCTACAGTAGATAGCAGAGTGAGGAAGAAATTAACCTTTGCTATTTTAAGGCGCTGAGATTTTAATTTTTACCACATCATAACCTAGCTCATTCTAACTGATAAAAGCAATGGCTTCTGTCTTGAGTTCCAAATCTCTATGTGACATCACCTCCTAACATTTCTGTTTGAAGGTCAAATGTGTACTTCTAACACTGAATCTGAAACCAGTATCACCAACACACGATGAATCAAGACTCTTTCCCCAAATTTTTCGTTTATACAGTGTTGTCAATATCATTTACCTAACCAATCAAAGGACAGAATGTTCTCTTGTAACCAATCAGGTACTGTGTTTGTGTTCATCTCTGTAACATCTTT